TTATATATATATATATAGACATATAGACATATATATATATATATATATATATATATATATATATATATATATATATATATATATACACATATATATGTATATATGCATATACATACACATATCTCAGGCATTCACTAAACGACTGTGTCCCATCCATAAAATATTTTTTTTCACAATTAATTATCGCTCGATTCACAATTATTATAACTCGCTCCTCATATTTTTAAATATATATATATATATATATATATATATATATATATATATATATATATATATATATATATATATATATATATATATATATATATATATATATATATATATATATATATATATATATATATATATATATATATATATATATATATATATATATATATATATATATATATGTATATATATATATTGTATTATTAACACGTTGGTTCTCTGCTGCTTCACCTTTTGTAATCAGATACATACATACACACGCCCATACACCCACGAATGTATATATATTTTCTTTGTATTAATAATGTTACCTACCATTTAAACGACAAATCACTTCTCGATTAGAACTTTCATGCCTGTAGTTCTGAGACGACCATTAACAAATACATTCAACCGTCATACACGCATACACGCATACACACAAAAAGAGAGAGAGAGAGAGAGAGAGAGAGAGAGAGAGAGAGAGACTCGTGAGGTAAAACAATCCAATCTATGAAGACTATAATATGATGCCTCTACACGTTATGTTTATAGCTCAAAAAAATGAACTCTTCTAAAAATGATGGATATAGGCGAATGGAGGTATTTAGGATAGTTCTTGAATATTCAAGCTTGTTTTTCTCATTTTCCAGTAAGGAACCATTTGTGACGTAGACTTCGGTTGAATATTCAAGAGACCGCTCAGTTGTGCATAGTTCGTCAACTGGCAGCAAGCTAATTACACTGATTAAAAATTATGAAATGATAGGTATCGTCAAGTAGAATTTACCGATGAAACTTCTACAATAATGGAAAATGCGCAGAACGTGTGACTGGATGCGTCTCCTCCGGTAAGATTTTGTTTCCCATTCCTTTCACGAGTTTTTTTAAGCAACACGTAACACAGAGTTATAGTTTGAAATATTTTTCATCTACAGTATAATCTTAATACGTTCTCATGCGCTGCACATTCTTTTCTTAGCTGCGACTATATGTATATGAGATTAATTACCGTCGTGCAACGTCAATGACAAAAGGCAACCACCATGACTCGAATCTATGAAGAATGAACAATGGGACCATCCCTCTTCATCGTGCGAGAACTTGTCTCGTTAACATTTATCAAAGTCGTGGAAAATGGAAAAGAAGACTGTCACGAATCACATTCAATCGATCAACAGAAGATCCCTGAACGCATTGTCTCAACTGCATTATCATACTCAAATGCAAAACGCATCTACATATACTCATATATACATGCATATATTTATATATGTAGAATATACATATATATATATATATATATACTTTTATAGAAAAGAACACGTATGCTTTTGTCGTTATCATTCGAAGGCGAGATTTCTCTAGTCTCAATGACCTCTTAAATATCGGGTAGCTGCGATCATTCTGTATATACCTGCGTTCTCCACACACTTGCGACCTCGCCTCATGCATTCTAAGAATGCAATTGACATTGTCCCTCTTCCATCAACGTAAAACGACTGTTTCGAATTAGGAATTCCAATTTTGAATGAAAATGACAGGAGTAATTAAAGTATGTTTAAATAAGAAGAAAGACGAATACAAACGATAAAAAGTAACTATTCTGTGATCTTAAAATTTGCTGGGCGTTGCTCGTAAAACAAAGGAAAGAAGAAGAAGAAGAAGAAGAAGAGGAAAAAGAAGCGATCGAAATCGTATATCCAGTAATCTCACGCACGACGACCCGAAGAAACGAGCGAACCGGATCGGTGATCCCCTCAATTACACATTAAACACACGGAACGTAACTTTAAATAAAACGTAAGCACACGTATGTACTCGATACTACACAAATCTCGTTCTTATTCTTCACTGATACATACACATTCATCATCATCATCATCATCATCATAATCATCATCATCATCTCATCATCATAATCTATTTATTTATATATTTGTGTTTATATATATATAATATATATATATATATATATATATATATATATAATAATTATATATTTATTATATATAATATATATAATAATATATATATATATAATATATATATATATATATATTGCATATGTATATATATATAGGACACATATATAAATATATAAATTACATAATCATATAATCATTCAGTATCATCCTCATCCTCATCATAATCACCATCGTAATCATCTCAGTACATTATTTATTATCTTTTGAGTTGGCTAGACCGCACGCTTGAAAATGAGATCATACAGTTCTAGTATGCACAGAGCTCAGATGATCGAAGCTATCCGTTCCCTAAACACGCACGACCGCATCTAAATGTTCCCTCACTGCGAGAAGAAAAGGTATCGTATGTATGTGTAATACTAACATCTGGTTTTTCTTTCTGCACAGGTGAAACCCGGTATCTCGAGACAGACGAAGAAAAACAGTTATATCAGAAGGATACATACACAGGTTGTGATGTGCAAAAGATAAAAAGGAAGAGGTACTCGGTTCTATCTAATTAATCGTAAACGTGATCTCGTATGAAATATTGTATATCGTTAAACAAAAGGAAAAGTGTTGCAATTGATTTGTTTCTTGTAGATGCATACACGCATATATGTACAGTGCCGGTCTTCAGAAACGGAACACCAAAATGTTTCTGTCGGAATCCGGAATCTGGAAGAGTATACCCACACAAGACAAAAGCTACAAGGTAAATTCAAATCGCTCAAGATTATTATTTCTGTATCTTGTAGCTCAGGATATATCTTTCTCGAGGTTCCAAATCCAGCAACGATAGTTAGGTGTTCCGTTTGTTGCGACTCGGAGAGACTGTAGATATAGCTGAACCCTGACCTCCATTAACAGAGGATTCGGTTCATGTTATATCAACGTGGTAGTCGTCACCGTCATAGTCGCATAAGTTGCGTGGTGTCGGTGTCCGTTTGCAAATCATGTAATTTGTACCTACTAGAAAGAAAAGAGGCGTGCGACAGACAGATCCCCTACTCTCCCGAGGCGGCTAAAGGCGGGTAGTGAACGCATCAGGATCAAAGGAACGGATTCGCCGGTTTCTTCCTGCTGGCCTTAGGGGAGGGCCCGACGGCATCGTGATCGACACACACCAGCATCGTGTCATCGTCGTGTCGCGCAGCCTTCTTACTCGTACTTGAGAAAGTTATTCGACTTCTGCTCGCGCTGCCCAGGATGATTCTGCCAAGCACCTTGGGACGCGTTCGGGTTATTCGGGCCTGGTCCACCTGTTCCGGGATTGCCTGTATTACCATCACCGCCACCCTGATTCATCCAACTGAGAAAGCCAGAGTTGCCACTGTTACCAATGCTGTTGTTGCCGGACGGCTGTTGACCAGGTGGGCCAGGCTGGTTCGAATATCCCTGATCGTTCCCGGGCGTCTGCAGGTTACCGATCAAGCCCCAAGATGCTTGGTTCAGCGCGGCGACCAGAGCTGGATTCACCGGCAGCGCGGACAGATTCAGCCCGGCCATCGCCAACGAATTGGACATACTGCCGCCCCCACCGCCACCATTGTTCTGCCCGGTGATGCCCAATGCCTGGAGGTTCGGCATGTCCAAGTTCCCGCGGTTCCCTGGATTGTTCCATCCGTTCGGGCCCATATTGTTACCTGAGTGGCCCACGTATCTCGCCACCTGGTAGTTGCCCTGCACGTTATTCTCGGCGGGGCCCGGCGCGCCTCGGCGCATGTTCGAGTTCACTTGATTATTGAAATTCTTATTGTTCCCCTCGGACTTGGGAGCGGCGTTCGACACATGCACCGACACCCCCTTTATTATGTGATCTTCGCCGCACAGGGACTGCGCTACCTCCGGATCTAAGAAAGTAACAAACGAAAATGCACGGAATGGTTTCGGGATGAACACGTCCGTCACTTCGCCGTATTTGGAGAAATAGTCGCGCAGATCGTCAGCGGTTAGGTCTTCTGTACAGCGTCCCACGAATACCTTGCAGGGTACTTGCTGAATCATTCCCTCCTACGCACAAACGCACAATCAATCAATCATATACAACAGAGTTTCACATTGATGTTTTTTTGTTTTGCATTTTTTTTCTTTTTCTTTTTTTTCGTTCAGTAAAACTTGCGTACAGTGCACATTATCGTTGTCGTATGTACGATCATCTTGCAAGGCTACCGATTTCTTTAAAAAACAAAGGAGACCAGTCTTTCTTGTTCAACCTGTTAACCATTGGAAGATCGTGTAATTTTGTTCTCGAAGTCTATTATAGAAAGACTCTGCGCAACAATTTTAATTAGAAGTCGTACATGGACGATTTTTATTTGTTTCTTGCGTCAAGAATGGCCCGGTTAACAGGCTAAATGCTATTTGTATTCGTAGCTATTGCTAGAATGTTTACTGTTCAGTCAATGGCTTAAAAATGGTTCTATCCTGGGAAATAGAGGACTGTAATCTGCACTAACGTCAAGTTTTATAGAAAATTCTTAAATACGCATTGATCTAGTTATTCGATCACGGAGAAAGGTTTTCTCGGCTAGTCAATTTACACTTGAACTCAGTGGATGCATATATATACATATATTTACATGTATATATATGTGTATGTATATGTATATATATATATATATGAAACAACACTTAAGCACTATGGCCTCTTTAAATCCATGCACAAAATCTGTACAATATCCTTTCTTTTTATATTCGATGTAATCTCATGCTATATGTTTTACATTATCTTAAATTGATTAAGCACAATAGTTGATAAAATGTAGACAGTTATTCGAGGCTATCTATAATATCAGACATTACTTGGTTTTCTTTTTATATGCATACATGCTATATTTTATGACAGAGATACGTCACAGGTCAATGGGAATACACATTTTTTATCTCTTTAGTCTGAAATCAATCCATACATGTACATTAATTAACGTAAAAATTGATTAAGAAGTACTCAGAAATGGACGACCAAGAGATGGTCCATGGCGAAGGAAGCAATATAATACAATTCATTGAACGTCCGATAACATTTTGGTCTAAGAACGTACTCTATTAATTTCATCGCTAATCTTCTAACAAGATTCAAATTTCTCATTTCAGAGTTACCACGAATATATACAAACTGTAGCGTATACGGCAACTTTGTAGAGTCTATTCCCATCGAGACGTGACTTGTTTATTTACGGATAGGTAACAAGACTCATCAGTATCTTGACGTGTCCGAGACGTGGTGATCCCTCGACGGACGGTGCTTGTAATAACGATCATAATAGTTCTCTTTAGCCGGGTATCTTGTAGTGTCCGCGAACCTGGCCTCCACTTCCTTACCGTCCGGCGGGTATCTCGTTTCCACATCTCTGTTATCGACCGCGTATCTAGCATCCGGTTCCCTACCATCGACCGCGTATCTTCTATCGATTTCGCGATTGTCCACAGGATATCTACAATCAGCCTCTCTACCGTCTGTCGGTATCCGATTGTCAGCGTGCCTGGTATCTGGATATCGGACGTCCAACGGGTACCGACAGTCAGCGGACACGTAACGACCGTCCCCTTCGTAATAGTTACGGTCGTAACCGTAATTATATCTAGCTTTCTCCGTGTAATCGGGGTTCTCCATGACCGGGTAGACGGCTGCACGTCCTTCGTAGTTCGGGTATCTTGGGTATTCAGCGTCCGATGGATAACTCGGCGGCGGGTTCGCCGGCGCGCCACCCGCCGCATGCGGCTGCTGTTGTTGCTGCTGTTGCTGCTGCACCATATAATTTCGTGTATCGTACCCGGGATCCTCGTACGACGGGTATGTCGGTTTCTCGTACGCGTTGTAATTCTGCCCCTCGTACTTGTACTTATTGTTATCGTCGTACGGATAGTTGGCTGGGTACGACGGGTAGTGAGTCGTTTTATAATCGTACTCCGAGTCGTACCTAGGCGGGTTAGCTGGCTCGGATGTATTTATGTTGATATACGGTTTCGCCACAGGTACCCGTCGACTATTCGGCGTATGAACCGGTATAGGCCGGTAGCATTCATTGTGTTTGCTCGTATCATACTGACGAGCCATCATTAAGCCATCAATATTCTGCAACCAGATACACCAGCCCTCGACAATCACATACAATTTTTATAGCTATATCATTTGGTTTTTTTTTGATACACACATATACGCACTCTCGCACATCGTAGACATACTTCTCTCCAGGGTATATTTCTGTATTTTCCTTGTCTTTTTCTTTCATTGTGTCATTCCACATACCAAACATATACGCAAGGCGGGTCAATGGAATCACCTTCATCGTTTCCGTTACTCTGAGATACGAAGAGAAAATTTACACGCAAAAGTTATACGCTATCAACGAGTTTATAACGTAACAATTATCATTTTCAAGATCATTTTCGTTTTTTTCTTTTTTTAAATGCTCTTTTCTGATTATTGTCACATCATCAACCGTCGATGTCGTATAACTTTTGCGAACAAAATTTTTCCTCGTACCTCTAACAAATAATGGCGGCGATTAAGACGATCGGTATTGTTATCCCAGCCTATACCCTATATATGGATTGTACAACTACACATTGAAAATACTTTAAAGGATAATTTTTACAAGACAAAGTAAAACAATTACGATTTCGGCTTTGTTTTCAAATTTTGAACGTTTAAATCCCACCGATGATGGCGCGCGAGACAGCCGCCATTTTTGTTCGGGTGAAACGATTAACCGCTGACAATTTGAAAACAATTTTATTTGACGTTGTAGAATCATCCCTTTGAGTTATTTACCGTGTGTGGTTGTACAACTCGTGTATTTATTATAGTATTATAAGCTTCCTTCCTTCCGTTAACGTAACACTCTAACCGACAGCGTGTGAACCTAATCTCGTTCGAATTACCTGATTGAAAGACACGGCACATCTCTTTGTTCATCCACGGACCCGTACACTATTTCGTTTCATACTAGACGCTACGTTACAGCATTCGTGGAACTGATTCATTGCCCACGAGAGATTTTATGTTGTAAATGTTACTCATTTCTCCTTCGACCGATCTCCTCTAAATGTCATGCACGAAATTCTAATCAATCACGATTCGTTTAACCCGTTCCGGTTTTCGCAAAATTCAGAGCTCGCTTCAACTAATGACAATTCTCGTAACCTGCGCGTTTCACACCGGTTTTGTTTTTGTTCTTTCTTTCTTTCTTTCTTCAAAATTACACACACTGTCACGCAAACCATACCCATTACAATGTTCGTTGTCCCAAAATGAAGGATACACATTTTTAGCAGTATACTCGAATGCTTGTTGGCCTCGAAACTCACTCCCATTATTAGTTACATGGTGTTTTGGATAACAAGAAATTGTTGATCTCCCTAAATCTGTTTCAGAGTTAGTAGCGTGGCTATATGTTTGGCTGGACATCTCTAGCAAACTAACATTTGTATATACATACGTATATATGTATATTTGTATTACATTAAATTTCCATGGAAATTCGCACCGTGACCGAGACCCGAAACTATCAACATCTCATTACTTATTTCTCAAGTTGCCATTGAAGCTTTCTCACGTGAACTGGGTATGTATTCATAAATCATTCGTATCTATTTTAAAATCTGACAGTGGTACTCTCATAGCATACTTCAAAATTCCACACGATTTAATGACACAAACATACCATGTTATTTACAAGATCACGCAGACATACTTTCTTTTGGAATACCTTCTTTCTGCATCATACAACACTCATATAAAACATTCACACACATTTATCACTTGACCATTATAAATTTACCACTTAAGAGTGACTACACATTCATCTATTTATACCACAATATACGTTCTCAAGAAATCTTTAAATGATATTCAGAGATTATAAGCGGAAATTTATTGTCGTCTCGTCTTGTGCAATGATTCAAAATAGAAAAAGAACTTCTAAAGCAAAGTATTATTCACGTTTGTGCCATAGTCAGACTTCTCAACTGTTCTTTTCTCTTCTTTATAATTCGCACTATACTTTGTATTTTGACTAGAATCCTATCACATGCATCGTAGACCTGTACACAACTGTATAATAAATCTATGAAAGCAACAACCTTAAACAGAATATTAATTATTTGTTAAAAAGAAATTTTACACCATACCGTGTACTCGATTACTTTGCTAATAACCATAAAAAGAATAGATCGTATTCGCAGGAATTGAAATATGCAGAACACAGCTTTACATAATATATATCAACTTTATCAGACATCCGTTCAATTTATTATAGGTAGGATGAAATAAATTTACTACAGATGTGTAACAATGGTGTTGTAATCGATTTTTCTTTGCAGATAGTTATGTACAGGTCTATAATTTGCATATATACACACACACATATATATATGTATATGCAAATATAAATATATATATGTATCTCAATATTATTAAACAACTGTTAAGTACTTAAGCACTTTGAAACTACTTCTAGATATAAGAGGAAACAACGAACGTTTGTTATTGAACATATCGATGCTCTTACCTTACTATTGGGAACCTTGACGTCACACCATCTACCATCTATCATATGTCGTTGGGCGAGGCATCTCAATTGAGATTCATAACTACCAAATCTAATAAATCCAAATCCTTTGCTTTGTCCAGATTTTGCATCTTTTTTTACCTAAATTAATGTTCCAAGACAATTAGTAAGAAATACATTATATTATATATATATATATATATACACACAAAATAATATAAAAAGAATGTGTTTATAATTTTTCATGAAAGACCTACCTGAGCCATGAGTACTTCTCCAAATGTTTCGAAATAATCACGCAAGTTCTGCTCGGTAGTTTTCCACGGTAAACCAAGTACGATCAAGTCTGTGCAACGCAACTTTGTTTCCATTCTTTTAGTCTTAGCTGTGGAATTTTCCAAATTGTCATCAGATTTACGTTTGTTCTCTGAAAAGATATAAGTGTTCATGTCTACTAACTTTTTTTTTGCATTTACTAGAACCTCTTCCAAAATTTGAGTCTTACATGAAATTTTCTATGTATATTTAATATACAGAAAAGAAACGTAATTGCGATAAAAATAATAATAATAAAAAAAGAGAGGAATACGGAAATCCAGTACAAATAATTATTACTCAAAAAGTATAATTAAAAAAAATATATAACTTATGTATCAGTGTGTAATTGTATGTGTGTGTGTGCGTGTGTGTCTGCAGCATATTCATATACGTATACAACATATAGATCGGTTTAGTCGTATTAATTATTCAAGTTCACAGCTATTTATATGTATGTAAGTTTGCATAGATGCAGATAAGCTCCATTCAGTATTAATAGACATTTATATAGATACATATACACAGATATTATTTTAGCTGAACCGAAAGCATTATTATACAAACTTATTCGTAAACCTGTGTCTATTTACTATTGGTGTTAATATATTTGATGTAATATTAACATGTGCTTATGTTAATTTCACTTAGTCAAAAAAAAAGAATGTATTCATGAACAGCAAAATTCTGTTCCAATAGAAACAAAATTTTGCATTTCAGATGAAACAAACAAAAATTATTTAATAATTGTAGGACAAATATATGCAAGGATTATTTCTCATAAACACAAACACATGTACTGGACTTCTAAATCATTTAAGACCAATTACTAGTGTGAATAACATACCTAAGAGAACATAAAATCTGAAATATGAGCACAGCTACTAGCAAGTAAGCATCCATTGCAACAAACTATTTTCGTATAGTACTTCCAGACAAAATCAAATTTTCGAGGTATCAAACGGATAATATTTGAGACCGGAAATTAAATTGAAAATTTCTCAAGAACAAAGAATGATAGGGAAGAAAAAAAAATGAAATTCCTAGAACAGTGTTTAAACGTTGCTTGAACATTTTTTACCAGGTGTAACGAAAAAAAACACGGTAGTTGGTCTTATTGTAACGTTAGTATTTGGGGGTCGAGAATGAGAGCAAGAGAGAGAGAGAGAGAGAGAGAGAGAGAGGGGGGAGAGAGAGAGAGAGAGAGAGAGAGAGAGAAAGAGAAGGGGGCGTACAGAGAAGAGAAAGAGAGACAAGCATACAGAGACAGAGAGACAGACAGACAGAGAGAGAAAGAGAGAGAGAGAGAGAGAATGAGGATAGTATGGATTTGTCATGAAATAAGCACCTTTTGGAAAAACACAAAAGTAAACCGCTTTGCCCCATCCACTTTCAGGCGGATGAAGTCGTCCGTCAACGAGACGGATGCCACGCATCGTCCGTGATTCGGGATTGCGGTATTTCAGTCCGCACGTTCCGGGAAACTGGGCGGTCACGGTGGTCAATAAGAGTGTGCTATCATCCTCGGTCGGTAGCTCTATCGGCTCGTCGCCCTCGTCCTCGGCAACCTGGATGTACGACGACATTTTCTCTTCGAAGCGTACGGTCTNTATATATATACACACAAAATAATATAAAAAGAATGTGTTTATAATTTTTCATGAAAGACCTACCTGAGCCATGAGTACTTCTCCAAATGTTTCGAAATAATCACGCAAGTTCTGCTCGGTAGTTTTCCACGGTAAACCAAGTACGATCAAGTCTGTGCAACGCAACTTTGTTTCCATTCTTTTAGTCTTAGCTGTGGAATTTTCCAAATTGTCATCAGATTTACGTTTGTTCTCTGAAAAGATATAAGTGTTCATGTCTACTAACTTTTTTTTTGCATTTACTAGAACCTCTTCCAAAATTTGAGTCTTACATGAAATTTTCTATGTATATTTAATATACAGAAAAGAAACGTAATTGCGATAAAAATAATAATAATAAAAAAAGAGAGGAATACGGAAATCCAGTACAAATAATTATTACTCAAAAAGTATAATTAAAAAAAATATATAACTTATGTATCAGTGTGTAATTGTATGTGTGTGTGTGCGTGTGTGTCTGCAGCATATTCATATACGTATACAACATATAGATCGGTTTAGTCGTATTAATTATTCAAGTTCACAGCTATTTATATGTATGTAAGTTTGCATAGATGCAGATAAGCTCCATTCAGTATTAATAGACATTTATATAGATACATATACACAGATATTATTTTAGCTGAACCGAAAGCATTATTATACAAACTTATTCGTAAACCTGTGTCTATTTACTATTGGTGTTAATATATTTGATGTAATATTAACATGTGCTTATGTTAATTTCACTTAGTCAAAAAAAAAGAATGTATTCATGAACAGCAAAATTCTGTTCCAATAGAAACAAAATTTTGCATTTCAGATGAAACAAACAAAAATTATTTAATAATTGTAGGACAAATATATGCAAGGATTATTTCTCATAAACACAAACACATGTACTGGACTTCTAAATCATTTAAGACCAATTACTAGTGTGAATAACATACCTAAGAGAACATAAAATCTGAAATATGAGCACAGCTACTAGCAAGTAAGCATCCATTGCAACAAACTATTTTCGTATAGTACTTCCAGACAAAATCAAATTTTCGAGGTATCAAACGGATAATATTTGAGACCGGAAATTAAATTGAAAATTTCTCAAGAACAAAGAATGATAGGGAAGAAAAAAAAATGAAATTCCTAGAACAGTGTTTAAACGTTGCTTGAACATTTTTTACCAGGTGTAACGAAAAAAAACACGGTAGTTGGTCTTATTGTAACGTTAGTATTTGGGGGTCGAGAATGAGAGCAAGAGAGAGAGAGAGAGAGAGAGAGAGAGAGGGGGGAGAGAGAGAGAGAGAGAGAGAGAGAGAGAAAGAGAAGGGGGCGTACAGAGAAGAGAAAGAGAGACAAGCATACAGAGACAGAGAGACAGACAGACAGAGAGAGAAAGAGAGAGAGAGAGAGAGAATGAGGATAGTATGGATTTGTCATGAAATAAGCACCTTTTGGAAAAACACAAAAGTAAACCGCTTTGCCCCATCCACTTTCAGGCGGATGAAGTCGTCCGTCAACGAGACGGATGCCACGCATCGTCCGTGATTCGGGATTGCGGTATTTCAGTCCGCACGTTCCGGGAAACTGGGCGGTCACGGTGGTCAATAAGAGTGTGCTATCATCCTCGGTCGGTAGCTCTATCGGCTCGTCGCCCTCGTCCTCGGCAACCTGGATGTACGACGACATTTTCTCTTCGAAGCGTACGGTCTGGTTTATTTCCCGATGAAAGAAGAATTAAAAATCTCTACAACACAACAAACACACACGCTCTCTCGATCTTCTCGCAACCAGTCACGCAACACCGCACCTCTTTCTCTTTGGCCAGCGAGCAGTGCTGCCAATCGCAACGCGTTCCCGAACCACTTTTCAACCTCTTCCAATACGCCTATCTTCTAAGAAAATTATGACTCGACTTCCGCCGGGGAATAAATTTGATCGAAACCGATGAAAATTCGATTTAATTTCGATTCGAATAAATCCCGGTTAAATCCCAGATTTTTTTAGAAATAAATTCAATGACTCGCGAGGACCGAAACTCTTTGTTTCATTATTATTTGTCGGAGACGAGCGGCTAATACTGTGCTCAAACGAATCACTCATTTCTAGAATAAGACGACGTTTCGTGTTGTTTAACTAGAAAAAACATCTACAACATTGTTTGAAGAAATAAAAATACTTTTGTATGGAATTTTTCATTCGGATTTGTTAGAATTAATCGATGAGCGTGGGAACGGTTAATGAATTATGAGAATGCATAAACTATTATAGTTTTTATAAGTAAGAACATTTCTACGATAAAATTATTATCGCATCTGTATTAATAATTTATCGGTTATCGTTAATATATTTCGAAGTGTAAATCAATATTTCGTTCCAGAATTAAGGGATTTTTTAAATATAAAAGTCCCTAGCACCGATCGGAGCGCAACGTTACAGTAAAATTTTGAACTACTTCTAGCGCTAAAAAGAATCGATTTGAATAAAAAGTCCAATATTTTTCACAAAAATATATTTTGTCATTAAAATACAAGTCGTGTTACATTTACATTAAACGTGTGAATCGAGAGTAGAATTGTCATCATATTAAATCATCTCCTCGAATTTGCTTGTTCCTATAAACTACAAAGAAACAAAGTTGAAATGCAGATAATAGACAACCTAGAAAGTTTGGTATCTGTATAAAACGGTCATTGAGAAGGCAACCATATGCGAACCACTGAGAAGAAACTACCAATGAAGCCATGATTATTGGAAATGGTAAACTTTCAGTGTTCTTCATTCTTATTACGTGTGCCTAAAAAATATTTTATTCGATTACTCATTTTCGTTATCATTTTTCTATATCGATAGAATAAAAATTCAAATAAACTTGCCATTGTCGTTAAAGGAGATGCAAAATATAATACTGCCACTGTACAGCTCAGAAAGCCAACACATTTAGCGGCTAGCAACTTATCCTGCTCGTAAAAGCTATAAAAGTATACAGCTCCGAGGAAACAAGTTGCTATTATCATTTCTCTGATGATTTTCAATTTCTTTACACTATATGAAATATACACATAAACATACGATGCTTGAAGTATACTCCCAAAAATATTTATTAACAATATAAAGTGGTCTTCGATAAGCATACCATATCTCATCCATAAAAGACACCTGAAATGTATTTATGCATTTTTTGTATTTTTTATGTAGAATAAGTAAATATATTGGTAAAAGTATAAACTTACGACGTGTAACATGTTATAAATGCTAAAGGCGAGCTATTTCCTGTTGAACCGTTTTTAATAATCTTCTTACACACCAATCTAAAATGTATACATAAAATGTTTAACCATGAATTGTCTACCTAAGTATATTAATTGATAATGCGTTTAATAAAAACAAAGTATGTAACGATAACCGGAACGATTATCGGACAGGCCAAATATGGGAATAAATTATTTATCGACTCACACGCCGGCTAAAAATTGTAAAACAGTGCAGATTGAGGCTGTTGTAGCCAATGCGTCTTTAATCCCCGTCGAAATCATGATCCAAATCGCACATATCGTTATCACGTATCAACATCTATAATATGATCCAGATTCACAAGCTTGATATCGAGTATACGCGCCCAATCCTAGTTTTATAATGAAAGATAAAATCCATGGTCAATAACATGTCCTTACGAAAATAGAAAGCGAACGCGTAAGAGAATGTAACCATGTTATTTGATCGACGGTCGATTCCGTGCCAACTTTGTCGGTTTTTCAACATGATTTTTAGTCGTATCTTTATTAGGTTTCAAATAATTGTTCCGTCAAGAGCGTATGCATCAATTTCAGACCTTCATTGTAATTGGTTCTAGTGTATTTATTTTTGGTTAAGTTTTCTCGGGATAATTTATATCAGTGTACATATACATATCAGTAATGTCCACATCCACAAGAGACAAGATGAAGGATTCCCTCACCACGCCCCTTACGCGGAGGTTTTCTTTTCCAAACGTCAATCTTTCCGATAGATAGAAATATGATAGGATTCTATTTGTATTTTTAGAGCACTCTAAGATTAGTATTATAAAATAAATATTATAAAATAAATAGTATTATAAATAAATATAAACAGATATCTGGAAAAGGGAAAGCATCTAGAGACAGAAATACGCTATTACAAGATAGAGTAAAAATTGGCACGGGATCTAATTGTTCCAGATATTACAACTGAAGGGATCTATACTAATTATAAAAATTGTACCAATCCGAAACAGTATGGTTTGAATCACACGCGGTAGAGTGCTGGTTGAACAATAGTGGCGCCTCTTGTGGTGAAATCGGGAAGCTCCGTACAGGGTCCATACAGCGCCAATTAGTAAGTGGCAGAAAGCTGAAACTACTAGCCAAACAGTGACGCCTCTTGTGATGAAATCGAGAAGCTCCGTACAGGGTCCATACAGCGCCAATTAGTACATGGCAGAACGTTGAAACTGCTAGCCAAACAGTGGCGCCGCTTGTGGTGATATCTGGAAGCTCTAGTCTAGGTTCGTACAGCGCCAATTAGTAAATGGCAAAACGCTGAAATTGTTGGCCAAACAGTAGAGCATATGGTGGCAAAATTTCGAAGCGTTTGTCTTCTATAAACACATCACTGATTTATATATTTAAATATTATAAATATATTTATTTGAAATGATTTAGAACCGTTAATCGTTTACTACGTTGTAATTCACGTTCGGTTGATCGTACTTGCAGTATTCATAATTTTCTGGAGAAAGAATTAAGGAGCCAACATGAGATTCAAAATGCATCTGTTAACTGGATCTTTCATCAGGACCCTTAATTTGTATAACTTAAAGTATTATTCACGAACAACCATGTTAAATAACAAAGCTGATCAAGATTTAGAGAATTGGAAAGAACTGCTTCATAATACAATGCAAATTATTCCAAATTTCATCTCGACGAGCGAAGAAGAGTCTTTGATCGAAGAAGTTGATCCCTATATGAAAAGACTTCGATACGAGGAAGCACACTGGGATGATGTCAGTATGTAACATCACTATTCAGCTTTGATAATTGTATTTCATTTGTGCGCTTTCCTTTATAGGCAATACATGCTTACAGAGAAACAGAAAGGAAGGATTGGAATAAGAAGAATGAAGAAATATTAAACAGGGTTCGTGCGACAGCTTTTCCCAAAGAAATGCTTCAGCTTCCTTTGATACATGTTTTGGATTTAGCAAGCGAAGGATGGATAAAGCCACACGTCGACAGTATTAGGGTATATCGTTCGCTCATTGATTTTGTGCATGGACAAAGTTCAGCATTTTTCTTATCTTATAGTTCTGTGGAGAAATTATTGCCGGCTTGAGTTTGTTATCCGATTGTGTAATGAGATTAACTATGGTTGGACACGAAACAACGCACAAGGATGAATTTCTGTTACCCCAGAGATCTCTGTATATAATGAGGTACAGCAATTTGTTTGTTTATAAATATTTAGCCGTTTTTTCATTGAGAATCATTATCTTATAGCGGAGTAGCCAGATACAACTACAACCATGAAATTTTAAAAAATGAAGAATCTTATTTCGAAGGACAGCATGTACCCAGATCTAGACGTATTTCAGTAATATGCAGATGTCATCCAAACAACAACGAATAATGCTCTATTTAATGTATATAATTTGCCATGTACATAATATAATGTATATAATAAATGCAATATGACTAGGATTATCCAATTATCGGATTTTCAATTTCTAAATTCTACACCCTTTTGTTCTTAGGATAGAACAGTAAAAGATGACATAGAATAAAGCAATCGATCAGGAACAACGTGTACACGTATTCTTTCGAAAGACAATTACCATTTTTTCCCTTACGACCATGTCAAATCTAATCGTGGCCAGTGCCTATGATAAATGCAGTATGAGTGTGGATTATCGCGACATTTCAACCTTCCCCATTACTTCTGGTCTCGATCAATCTTTCCTGTAACGCGAAATTAACGTGCCCTTTCCTGACCGTGCTTTATCGCGGGTAGTCTCGCCTCTTCTCGAAATTCCACAGGCATGCCTGTGCGTTCGATATCCAGTTAACGATCGTTAAAAGCTGTCATTGAAAGCGACGAGTTTCACGTACGTATCCGGCTTCTGCTCATATTGTTTTTCAAGAAGATAAACAACGCGTCGGAAGCACGGCAATCGATGATAATTATCTATCGACGATCTGACAAGGACGAATGTATGTATCTCGTTGGTCGAGAGTGGTGTCAGCTATGCCGAAGAAAACTATAGGTATACGAAGACGTGTGTATGATCGAGCGCAACATAGTATTTCCCTTTCTTTGCTCGCGCGATCAAGCCGGAATACCAGGAAGATCCTAGAAAAGAAGAGACGGCCAGGATGAACGTTCGATGGAGCGAGATCGATAGACGAAGCGCGACGAACAGATCGAGTAACGTTTTCTGATGTCTCTTGCCTTGTCGGAACAAACAAAATATTTTGAATGATTTCAGAAAAGCGAGCGGTCAAGAGCATAGAGAGAAAACCGGACAGAGGAAGAGATGAATATGCAGCTCAAAGCGATCTTTGTCGAGCAATTTCCCCGATTTATTATCTTGGTAAAGCCTGTGGGTTGATTCCTGTTAGATTCATTGCACGCGCATCCGGGAGATATCAGGCGCGCCTGAGCATACTAGATCTGATTTACAGGTAACAGCACTAATGACTTCAGGTTTTCGTTTCTCGGATCGATCTTATTTCTTGAGGTTTCTTCCTAGCTTGTGCGTGTTAACGTTGCTCCTGGGTGCTGAGATATGGGGTCTGTGGCGAGACATGAAAGACGGTTGGGAGCACAGTACCAGACTGAAGTCTCGAACTGCGGTAATTGCAACATGCAGCGACGTTCTTGGTGTGATGAGTCTCACGGTGGTCTGCATCGTTGGCTCGCCATTTCGTTGGAAGTACCTGGAAGTCGCAATCAATAAATTAATAGAGGTCAGAATGCTCTATATATAATATCGGTGCGGTTATCGTCACCCTAAGTTGATATTGTACAGGTGGACGAGCGATTGGGTGTGCCCGCGGGAAGAAAAACTCGGCTGTTTACAATCTGTTTAACGGTGTGCAGCCTCGCGTACCTGTGGTTTAATTCGATCCTTGATTTTTCCACTTGGACTCGGCACACGAAGATCAGTAGACCGTTGACCGACAAAGGTCCCATCAACTACGCGCCTCTATATTTCATGTACACGGTAATTATCTCGACGGAGCTTCAGTACAGCGTGTCCACGTACAACTTGAGCCAGAGATTCGTTAGATTAAATAACAGCCTCAGAAATCTACTGGACAGTGGTATTCTTTCGTCCGTGGTCTACTCGTCGGCGAATCCCATTGAAACAGGTAAGTAGAAAGAACCATGATCTTCGTCGTTTCTAAGCCTCTGTCTTGTAGTAGTAACGGCAGACGTTCACGACAGACGATTAAACATCGTGTCGGGTAGACAATTAGAGTTGGGCAATCATCGGGTCCTTGGTAACTCAGGTCAGAGAAAGAGTCTAATCCGAGTTAGCGTATACTCTATCTCGATGTTGATTGCAGAGAGCGGTATACCCGAATTGATACTGATACATTCGTTGCTGTGCGATACGGTGTCCCTAATAAACAACACGTTCGGCGTGGTGATACTGGCAGTGACCACGACTTGCCTGCTGCATCTTGTGATCACACCTTACTTTTTAATTCTACAAGCGGGCGAGGAACACGAGTGGATATTTTTAGCGGTGCAAGGCATGTGGTGCATCTTCCATGTGACTAGAATGCTGATAATCGTTCAACCGAGCTACTCGACCGTCGCCGAGGTGGGCGACCAGCGATAAGCAGAGAAAATTGTTAGTAATGCTTCGAATAATCGTTTTCTTTCAGGCGAAGAAGACAGCGGTGCTCGTCAGTCAGTTACTGTCCTCCAGTTTCGATGCGAGTACACGCCACCAGTTGGAGATATTCTCCCTGCAATTACTGCATCGACCGTTGGAGTTCTCGGTTTGCGGGCTCTTCTCCTTGGACAGAACATTGATAACATCGGTAAGAGAGAAATAATGCGAGCAATTATAAATATGTTCGTGTCTCGACTTTTACGATTTTAGATTACTGGGGCCGTGACCACGTACCTTGTCATACTGATACAGTTCCAAAATGCGGACGACACGCAAGGTCAGGTTGACAGGCTAAAGAACGCGACGCAGATTCTGAAAAACGCATCGACGCTGCAGAATTTGGCCGGTATGAAGACGGTTCTCTGAAGCTCGAGAACAAAAACATGGCGAAAGCGGATGCAGAGAGAGAGAGAGACAGACAGACAGACACGCACACACACACAGTCGTGTATGATAATGTCGTATTTAATTGTTCCAATTCTCATAAACAGCGGCAATATACAAATACAGTTTTTACTCGTTTCGCAGTCCAACTATTTGTCGTCAACGAGTCGTTTGATCGGACAATTGACCAAGAGCGTGCTTCGTACGATGCCCGAAATTAGATGTCAGTCACAGCCTATCCAAAATGTTCCTCTCTCCTCGTCTCGCTGTCTCACTGTACGGATAACATATCCAACATAGTCTCGTCATGCGAAGAAGCCAGGCGTGTGTCTCGTTGGATCGAATTACTACTAAGGTATATACAACCTCTCGTATACTGACTCGTTTTTCTCTGCGACGCTATACACTTGTTCGTACAAATTATTATTACTCTAGCAATAAATATTGGATCGTCCGAAAAGAATCTAGCTCACGATTACGCGCTGCATGGTATCATACAACGCTGTCTCGTGATCTTTCTGTACCCATGCGTCAATATACAACATGTTCGCGGTCTTGTTCAAATTCAATTGGATGGCCGGTATGTGTAGGTGTATGTAGGTATGTGTAGGTGTGAATGTATGTTTTCACAGAACCAAACGAGACGCGAAAATTCCGCCACGCTCTGTCTCTAGCCAAACCGAAACCCGAAAGCTTCATCGTATCGGATCATCCTCGTCGCAAATTTACTCAGTTGACCGTGGCCGCCGCGACCGGCGGTTGTGCTTTCGGATGCGTGACCTGCAAAAGGTTCTCACAGCAACTGTCTTTTGCGATATTCAAACACTTTGGTCGCGGACAGGCGAGCACGTTTTCCGAATTGATCGAGATCAACTCTGCGTCGTTATCCCCTTTGTTCGAGAGACGGGTGTTGCACTGACAAGGGCTCGTGTGCCGATGGATCCGCGAGAAACAGTCGCTGCACACTCTCACGGGATTGTAAAGCTGCTCGCTGGGCAGCGGGGTCGAGTTCTCTGAACAGTCCGCACAGAAGATTTTACCACAGCATCTACGAGATAAAGGCAGTTAAACGTTTGCTTTTGTTTCTTTCCACAACTGTGAATAATTGGGAGTACCCGCAAATCGAGGTCCTACCTGCAATGGTGTTTGCGTCTTCCTAGCCAGAATTCTGTATCACAACCCATGCACCGGGTCACCGCGTGATCAGGTACCCACAAAGTAGGAGCTGGTCCCAATTCTTCAACAGCTTCCCAGGACATGTCCGATGGCAATGACTCTCCGTGGTCACCGGCACTGCCCACAGAGTCCGGTAACGATCCCTGAAATAAATATTCCTTCATTTTCTATCCAGTTAAGGTCCTTCCCTGTTCAAGCTCTTATATTACTTACGATATCGTCGATGCGCTCGGTTTCTGCATTATGATTGCAAACCTGTTTGATCAACGCCAGCCTCGTTGTATGTAACTCCTTCCTCAATGCGTCCTCTTTCAGCTGGAAACCACAAAAACCACCAAATAAAAGAAACACAACTGTTGTCTTCTATCGTCTTTGTCATTCTATTTTTCCATTGATTATTTCACTCGAAATACCTTGTTCTCCACTATAATTTGTTGCACGCGCATCTGTACATCGCAATGTATAATAGGAAGACCGTCTACGTCGTCCAATCTGTCAGGATTACTTGGGACCATGTCACGATGAATCGGCGAAGCCGGACAAACGCCGCTACTCGGTGTTCTCGACATCAACGGCGCGCTGATATCGCTGAAATCGCTGCCCTCGTTATGATTCTGATTCTGACCATGATTCGAATTGCAGTTGCGGGTGCAGGAGCAAACGGTTTCGCCGACCGAGTTCGTTTCTACCCACGAGGAAACGATGTCCTGCGGTGAACTCTCTTGTGGTCTGCTGCTCGAGACAGAAACCTTTTTTGTTCGAATCAAACCGAATTCGAAACCGCGACTCGATGCGGATTCGAATTCTAGTTCGTATTTATATCTACTGTTCTAGCTCCCGTGCAGACTCGTACACAGAATCGTTTTTAATCGGTTGCACGGTTTAAATGGACGGTTCAAAATAGATTAATAATATGATTAAACGAAATAATTCGCATATCAAATCCTGCTATGAATTTCAGTCTACGGTCGCGTGCTTCGGAAAAGAAACTTACGTTTCTTTGTCGTTGTCAGTCGTGTCGAGCAACGATTCGTTGCTAGGTATCAATGTGTCCGTTGAACTGTCTACCGAAGGATTCGCCGGCGAGTCGTTCGAAAATTGAGTGGTTGCCATGTTCTGTCGCTTCGATTTGTCTGGTCTGTCTTCCTTTTCCGCGTCGAAACTCTTGTCATCCTCTGACCAGCTGCTCTGCGTACACGCAGCGATGTTGCACTCGTCCGCACTTTTATCCGCCGTGTCCGCTTCGAGCGTCAAAGAATCCATTTTTCTGTAGCGATTTTGCAAACGGTCAAATACTCGGATACTCGTCTAGTAAAAAAGCTCTGATAGAGAATAATGGAATTGTAATTACTTTTCTACCGAGATACTTGGAGCACTGAGTCTACGTTGATGATAGGCCGTGTGATCGGGAGCATGTATCAGATCATCGCACGAACGAGTCTTAGTTATTTGCCGTTGTGGTTCTTCGGTTTCGCCGGGCTCGATGTCTATCATCGTCACGTTCTGTTTGTTGTCCCTCGTGCCAACAGAGGATTCCATGGAGCCTGAATAGACTTCGGACCATAACTTAAGCTTTCGAACGTTGTAGTCCGGCCACAGCACCTGATACAACAGAGAATTAATTCCCGATAATATTCGAAATCACGCGATCGTGGGTCGGTACTACCATAAATATTCATGTACACTAAACACGTAGATATACCAGAGGAAAAATATCCTACTTGTTTCTCTAAAGGCGAGTACAAGTGATTTACAAACGAACTGGAATTAAGGAACCGCCAAACTGAAAACGTTCGTTCCCGTATTCGCAATTGTAGCCTTTCCTGTATCGTGTTGCAGAGAAATGTGCCGAAAAGTTGTGAATACGTATGCTGCGCCAACTTCACCTGAAATTGATCCAATTGATACATTGGTGTCTAACACGTTGTCTTGCAAACACGACTATATATATATGTACATGTATACATGTCTCGACAAGAAATAGGTAATAAAGGTAGAAAAATACCTGTAGAACTAGTCTCAACATTGGACTCGTACTTACGAGATATGCTGGAGACATTTGAAAACAACATTCAAATTGTTCAGTCAATTGGTGTACACAGTCCAGCCACTGCAGAAATACTGGACATCGTTCATTCAGATCTTCGCAGCTGACTGTCTGTCCACATCGATCTGCGAATTTATGTCCAAAGTCTAACCATTCTCTCTCGCATAAGATTTGGAATCCCTGTGAATGACAAAGCAGAGAAATGAAGCAACGGTCCGGTAGCGAACGCACGCAGCAAAAGAGAGTACCTTCATCGTACCTCCATAGTTCGATAATAAGGATCGAGAAGAATTTGTGCCAAAGCAACTATTTGGGGCGTCCTGTCCCAGCCATCGCTGCAATGTACTAATACCGGTCGAGCATCTCTTTCGATCGCAGATGCCACGGTCACCGCTGCATGCAATAATCCAGACATGTGTTGCAACCACCGCGTTCCTTCCAAAAGACTAAGCCAACTGCAATAATGCATCGATAAGACACTAATCGGTTATAGAAATTACAAAAACAATAAGAAAACTTTGTACTTCGGTTGTTCTGTGTCCGTTGCGCAGAGCTGTCTCACCGTGTGAAAACTTTTACGTATAGAGTGAATGTTTGGTAAATTCATGAACTGTATGTCACAGTTAGGATAATACTCTCGACATTCGCAGCCGCCTCCACGCGCTCTGTTAGCCACAGCGGTCGTGTATGATCTGGCGTCCACAATTAGAACTTTCTGCGAGCACGAAATTTCTATTACTCGTTTATTTTATCAGTGTTTATTAGAGCTCTTACTCAAGTTCGAGTAGCACCCTAATTTATAGTCGTTATAGTTGGTTACCCACTTTGGTATTGCTCACTGTGGCTGCAGCTTTGTCACGGGTATCGGTGGAAGGATCCACCAATGTCGATTTACCTTTGTCATAGGAACACGCATTCGATAGAGCTTTGAGTAATTTCTCGTCGAATTCGTTGCGCCGACCGAACCAACCGAGTTCTGGTTGACTACTTCGCGCTATTACCGCACCATTGTTCACGTGTCTGCAAACCAAATTGTCATTAATAATTGAAGGAGACAAGATGCTGTACGATGTAACAGTACCTCCAAACAACAACAGGAATTCGACTAGAACTACGATACATAGCCACATGTTCCAAAGTATCATCGGTGATGCAGGAAGGGACCAGAAACAACGGTGGATACGACGGACACATTCGGTAATCTTTATTGATCTGACTGATCCGCCAGGTACCATGTAAATTGAACTTCAATCGTTCCACCTGCAATAATAGGAAATCGATTGAATCAAGTGGTCATGTCCGCTCAGCTCGAATTTGTTATTTGTTACATACCTCGGAGTTGAAAGTAGTCGCGTAAGATGTATTATCTTTTCCAATTTTACCAAAATCTTTTCCCTCCTCGATGGACCAAGCGTAATACGCGAAGGCGAACATGTCCTCTATACTCTTCTTCGGATAGGTTACTTTGTGCAGACGTTTGAACCATTCGAAACAATGTTCATTCGTGGAAAAAGCACAACTAAAACATTTGTTGGAAAGATATATCGTCGAGATACATTACATACGTTGCAAAAAAGATAAAGGCATACCTCAGGGAACGAGCATCTTTGCATCCAATATGTAAAAAGAAAATCTCTCTGACTTCCAGCTGTTCTATTAAACCTAATGGGATGTTGTAACAGGCTTGACTCGATTGTAAATACAATCTGTAGTTAGAAAGAGCCAGTATCCCATCTGTTGTACGTCCGAGTGCCACGATCGATTCCCCGCTTAAAGGAGTGAATGGAATCGTTAGGGTTTCATCATCGCATTCCACGTGTGCATACTTTGGAAATAATTCCGAAGCATGTAAGTGACAAATGGATTGTAAACTTGTTGGCTCTTCAGAACTCTCCATCTTTGCTCTGTAAAACACATGTAACTTTAGTATCTCCTGAATAAAAATTCATAATACAGCGTATTCTCTTGTTAGTAAACAATATATTATTTACAAACAAGTAATATAATGATAAATAACAAAACAAATATTCTTGGTCTGCAGATGTTCTAAACATATGACAATACAACTGCAGACGTTGTCAGCGACGCATTGTCAAAGATACAACAGGTAAACGTCACGATAATTTGTTGCCGCTTATCGATTCGCGTTATATCGTCACGAAAACGAACTACACATAGAAAAATAGCTTGGAAAAGGTCAACTTTTTCGAAACGTTCAAACAACTGACATACATACTTGTAACGAGAACGGAGACATATTATCGTATAATACGGTAAGCGCGACGGCAGAAACTCGCGAATAGAGTTCGAACTTTCTTAGAACTCGGAAACTTTTTCAAATTTACGTTGATGCACACGCAATCACAATCGCAACTGCAATTGCAATCGTGATCCCGATCACAGGCACAGCTATTCCGTTAACGACACAATTGGTAAAAGCGATTGCAAAGCAATCGAAAATCCAAGTAACGCGCCACGACGAGACAATACGTCGAACATTTTTACGCAATTTTTCTTCGATGGAAAGTATCAGGGAAAGAGTGACTAGAGTTACATCTGCGACATCGTCTTACCTTGGATTGGAAAATTTCTCCGCGATGGACGATACTGATGGCCGTTTCGATACCTCATACAAAATCCATAGACAGTCGTTTACACGCGAACCAGAATAAGGACATTACTCGATACAGAGAGCATTTTCCCGTCGAGACGCGGCAATGTCGTTGATTCCAATCTCGCGGGGTATGCAGCTCTCCGAAATACTTTTATTACGTACGCAAACAGCTTACGGGATAAACGACACCCTGTAACTAATCTGACGCGAATTTGATTCAAACACGATTACTTTTCGTTACGGTGATTCACGAAAATGGCTTGCATTGTGAAGCAAGATCTCCATCAACCAAAACAAACGTTCATGTCGGTTTCCTGCTTGCAAGGCGTCAATATCACCAAGTATTTCAACTTCCAATTAATTTTTATCGAAGATACTCTTTCTGTCTGATGCGAAAGTTACATTGACAGATTATTTAGTCTATAATATGTACGTACGTGTGTATGTATGCACTTATGTGTGTACAGATCAGTCCGCGTTTTCATCGCTCGATCCTTCCTCTCATACTACGTACATATACAATAACATGTATTTCTAACGGACGATATTTACATGTACGGAAAATTTTTGAAAACGTCCTGTGCGCATAATTTCAAGCGTTAAGTTAGCGTGGCAATATTCGAGATATAATATGATAGAAAACGTCACCTCGTAAATGCATAATTTCATTTCTTTGAATATTATGCATTTATAAAATGTTTCTTATTCTATCACAGTGTATACATATATCTCGTCTGTGGTTAAAACTAAAGATCTTATTACATAGATGGTCTCTAGTAAAGACCATATTAAAACCAACGATCAGTGCCATCTTAAGTCAAAGAAGAGCGAAAAAAGTGTTACCGACAGAGCACATGCATATTAAAAATAAATTCACTGTTATTTTTAAAATATTCATTAACAAACGATATTTCGCACGTTTTATAAATAGAGAAAATTGTTGTGCAATCCTTTAGGTAGAGAATCCGCATTAAAATGGAAATTGGACAAGTTTGATCAACAGCTAGATTGAGAATCGAGCTTAATCTTTTATCTTTCACACTTCTCTCTCTATTACTCTTTAAACAAAGCACCTGCGTATGAATTTCAAACGTTGCGTTGTTTAAATTGTATTCGTTTGATTTCGAGGGAATTTTTTGTAGAAATCAGGATAACAGTGCATTGAGTTTTATTGGTAAAATTTTAACGATTGTTAGAATTTTCGTTAAAAACATAAGATGGAAGGCTCAGATGTGTTGCATGTGGAAATTTGTCAAAATATTTGCAGGTAGATATTACTGGTCCTTTATCAACGTGGATATTTTGGTTTTGTAGTAAATTACATGAGATCTTATTTTTAGCACTTTGTCAAAGGAAGAAGTAGAGAAATTAACGTATGCGGAAATAAATGCATTGGAAAATGTTACACTGGGAACTGCTATGTATGAACAAGATTTTACAAACTGTACTCTAAAAAATCACGTGGACTCTATAATATGTTCTACAAACCATGTAGAGGTAATTCACCAAATGAAATGTATTTTCTGAATGATCTTGTTGAAATAAATTCAATTATTACAGAGGACTCATATGAAAATACAAGGTGTTACTTTAAAGTTTCACGTCTATAGATTAAATGAAGAGAATGCAGCAACAGAAACAATAGGAGATGATTCCGAAGAGTTAACAGCATCTTCTCATTGGATTCTACCTGCGAAAGAATTTCATTTTCTATGGGAGAATCTCTACTTTGATTCGACTATAAAGGAAGATGTCAGTTGAAAATGCTTCTAATTTCTTTAACTGTCTTTATCGTTTTGAAGCATTTTAAAATATATATGTTTATTTTATTTCAGTTATTACAGTTTGTGAAGACGACAATGATATTTTCAGATCATAAAGTTAACTCCAATATTATAAGTTGCAACAAAGTAGTATTATTACATGGGCCACCAGGTACTGGTAAAACTAGCCTGTGCAAAGCTCTTGCACAAAAAGTAGCTATACGTTTAGGAAATCGATTTACGTACACTGAATTTGTTGAAATAAATAGTCATAGTCTTTTTTCAAAGTGGTTTTCTGAGGTAATATTCCAGTAGCTATATGAATTATTTCAATGAATCTGTGAATAAACTTGATTTGTGTTTCAGAGTGGAAAACTGGTTATGAAGCTATTCAATAAAATAAGGAGTATGCTTGAAAATTCAGATACATTAGTATGTATTTTAATTGATGAAGTAGAATCGCTGGCACATGCTCGTAAATCGTGCAGTAATGGAGTAGAACCAACTGATTCCATAAGGGTAGTGAATGCTTTACTAACACAGTTGGATCAAATAAAAAAATATCCGAACGTTTTAATTCTGACTACCAGCAACCTCTCAGAAGCTATTGATTTAGCGTTTGTTGATAGAGCAGACATAAAGCAATATATTGGACATCCTACTCAACAAGCTATACATAAAATTTATGCGACTTGTCTCAAAGAATTAATGAGGGTAAACGAATATAATTGTTTGTAATAGTTCAAAGAGTACACGGCTCACACAGACATGTTTATTTTAGGTCAAACTCATGGAAGTAGAAGAGATCTTTGATATATCTTATTTAAAGAGGATTGGCTACGAAGAGAACTCGAGTACAAAGAACAGCCTCAAATTAATGGATCTAAGTAAAGAAAGTGTTGGTTTGAGCGGCCGTGTCTTAAGAAAAGTTCCATTTATAGCTCACGCGTTTTACTTGCGGACTAAACGATGCACTTTAACTAAATTTTTAAGAGCTATGCATCTAGCAGTTAAAAGACAAAAAGAGGGGCCTGAGGAAGTTGTTCAAGTGTTCCAAAATTTGGACATTTAAATTCTGTGTGCATCATACAGTTTCATCGTACTTTCAGTATTACATTGTCATCGCTTAGTTAGGTTTTACATAATATTTGATACAATTTTATATTTATTTTATTGTATTTTCATTATCTCTTTTATAGCATAATGCGTATGAAAACTGAGCAACATTGTTCTACCGCATTGCAGTTTAAGGATTGTACATTTCAAGTCAATAGTATTGCACCAGGTAAATTAAACTATTGTACTTTTGTAAAAAAATTTATACGTGCATATAATGAAAAATACAAAAATTGTAAAATTGAAAAATGTAAATTATAAATGTAAACAAAAATTATATTAAATGATTGGATTTTCGTTACTCACAACAAAATATATTATAGTCTTATGAATGTAATTATTACCTCCGTGTTAATCTTAATTTATACAATGTTTCTTGTGCACAATTTTCCCGCGTCGGTTTGTACGCAACTTTTCTAGCACATGTTTACACGGAGCTTATTTTACGTTGATTTTAAAAATGATTATTCCGTAAAAGATAATATGTCAATGTTTTGTCATTAAAATCTTTGAATTTTGAAAGGCTCAAATGAAAGCTGGAAGAATACACTTTATAATAAGTAAATCATAAAAAAAACTATCGGTAAATTACCGATAGTAGATATCTTACTAATTGGTTCTAATTGTAAGATCTTCCGTTAAATGGCGCTCAAATTACTGACTGCTCTTTCCTTTTTTCTCTCGGAATAAATTTGCGCGCGAAGTAGACATTTGTAGCATCGTCAGAGGCATTCAGAGGTTCACGAATTTTTCGAATATAATAAATAAATCGATTAAAAATGAAGAAAACTGAATCGTCCATCAAAGAGGTACAATATTTAGTTAGAATTTTATTTCGTCATAATTTTAATACAATGATTAGTTTAGTGTGTATAAACATTGTTAGCTTACTTCGACCTTTGATTGTTTATTATTGATCATTACAGAACAGACCAAGCCAGAATACAAAGAAATCTCAGAAGAAAATATCGTTATACTTTTCGAAAACTACGAAAGATGAGGCCTGTACTATTAAGAACACTTTAATTACTGATAAACATGAAGAAAGCGATGTTTCTACACAAAAGTCAGGTTCCAAACGGAAATTGTTAGGGGAATTAGCAGGAAGTCAGTCAAAAATTATCAAATATGATAATGTACTTGAAACCCATAAATACAAGAAACTGGAAGAACCGTTAAACAAGTCTAACATAGTTCGCAATGCATGCAATGATAGCAGTGATAAAGAAATTATAATGTTAGAAGAATGTAACAAAGACATTAGTTTAGGTGGATGTAAGGACGAATCACACGATAAACCAAGTGAAAAGAGAGTACAAATGAAGCATGATAGTTTTATGAATTTTTCTATGGAAAAGGATAACAACGGTTTAAAACAGTCTGATGAATTTAACAAATGTCAGAACAAATCAGATTTTATATTAGAATCATCTAATGATTTTGCCTGTGATGATTTTAATGATTGGTTTGAAGAAGCATGGTCTCCAATAAATCAAATAAATTTTGATTCTTTGCAGAGGTGTAAGGTTGTTCATGTAAAAAGAGAATGTAGTACTCTATTGTTAACTGTGGAACAAGAATGTTCTGCATCTAGTGGAACTGTTTCATGTTCAGGTTTTTGGTAAGAGTTTGTACTTTTCTATATGAAATTTTAACAGGTAAAATAGTTGAGTAAAATACTTTAAACTAATTCAAATTTAGGAAAGACGCAAAAATAGAAGAAGGTGATATTATAGCCATACAAGCAAGAAAAGAAACTCCTCATTGGATTGTGGACAATACCAGTGGTTTTCTTGTTGTTCATCCAGATACATTGATATCAGGGACAACGGTAGTTGGTGCCTTATTCTGTAGGAGAAGAGCAGTACTAGCAGAGAAATTTAAAAAATTAGAGAGTTTGCCATATTTTAAAGGTGATCAAACAGCTATGGTTATAGGGAGCTTAGCTCATCAATTATTACAAAAAGCAATGCACGAGGATATTCATGAAATGTCAGACATCAAAAAATTATTGTTTACTCTATTGGAGTCTAGGGAAACAGCTAGTACACTTTATGCATCAGAAGTTTCGTTAAGATCTTGCAAGGAACAAATGTTGACACTTATTCCACGGATATATGAATTCATTCAACACTATATAAAAGGTAAATTCTGTATGGTTTTATTAATATGTACTAATTATTTTTATTAAACATGGGTAATATCTACAGACAAAAAACATAAGGACATAAGTATGCAAAAATACAACTTTAAAGGAAATATTACTCATGTGTACGACATAGAGGAAAATATTTGGCTTCCCGAACTTGGCATAAAAGGCAAAGTGGATGCCACGGTAGAAGTTAATCTACATTCAAAGAGAAAAATCATGCCCCTGGAAATAAAAACTGGCAAGGCTTCGTTTTCGTCAGAACATAGGGGTCAAATTATTTTGTACATCATGATGATGGCTCTCACAGGTCAAGATATAGATACAGGACTGCTACTGTACCTGAGAGAAAATAGTATGCAAGAAATTAAGGCTGCACATCCCGAAAAAAGGGATCTAATATTGTTGAGAAACACTTTAGCACATTACTTTTCTCCCAAATCAGTGGAAAGTTCACCGTCTGAATCGAATTGGCAAACGTTAGAATTACCGGAGCCGATCAACCATCATAGCGCATGTTCCACGTGTTCTTACAATGCCTTATGCTGCGCTTATTTGAGTAGAGATATGGAAACGCGATTATCTGAATCTCATCCACTAATAAAACTCAGTAAAGAGATTCTTGGGAAGATTAAGCCTGAACATATAGATTATGTTATCAAATGGATCGCGTTGCTAAGAATGGAAGAGGGTGCGCAGTGTTCAAATAACATAATGAGATATTTGTGGACACTGAGTCCAGAAAAAAGGTAAAAATTCGGTGTACAATTAATCTGTATCACACCAATAATTGTCCTGTTTTCAGAGAGGCAAAAAAGCTTTGTATCAGTGGTTTGAAAGTAATAGGAAAAGTTGTTGAATATGATTCGAAATATCGCCACACATTTGTTCGAACAAATCACGATCAAGATTCTAATATTCCGTACCTAGAATTTGTTGAAAACGAGTATATTTTAGTAAGCACGAACAAAAGAATAAACATATCAGCAGGTTTTATAATGCATATAAAGGAAGACTCTGTAACTGTTTTATTAGACAGGTACATAAAGACATGGCTATAGACTTAGATGTTTCTCTTTGATACACTGAAATTGATTATGTTATTTCAGGGATATCACAAAGTACAATATCGACGAATCCTTTCACATAGATAAATATTCATCTTCCAATCTAATTGCTTTTAATTTCGCCAACGTTGGCGGATTAATGGGTGACAACGAAATTTGCGAAAAATTACGGGAGATAGTGATAGACAAAAAACCAGCAACATTCGCGAAAGAATTATCAAAATCTGTGATCAGTATAAGTGCTAATATAGTTGAAAGATTAAACGAGGATCAGGCGAGAGCAGTTCTGAAGGCGATGACTGCCAAAGAATACATTTTGATCAAAGGAATGCCCGGCACTGGAAAGACGCAAACGCTAGTGGCGTTGATACAACTACTAAACGCAATAGGATGCTCCATTTTAATCACAGCGCACACAAACAGCGCCGTTGACAATGTCCTGCTGAGACTGTTGGACAAAGGTATCGACTTCTTGCGATTAGGCTCGTCATCCATTCACCCAACATTAAAACATAAGACTGAATCATATGCGACTGCCAACTGTTGTTCGCCTAATAGTTTCGATGCAGTGTATTCCAGTAAAGTATGAGATCATCCTTATGCCCTATATAATTATTATAAAAAGATAATAATTTTGTTTCCTTTAGAATATTATAGGAGTAACTTGTTACGGCGCTCATCATGCCCTTCTTGGTAGACGGATATTCGATGTATGCGTTATCGATGAAAGTTCTCAGGCCTTGCAACCGGTCGTGCTAAGACCTTTGTATAGTGCGCGTAAATTTGTTCTCGTGGGAGATCCTGACCAACTTCCACCCATCATCAAGAGTAGAGTGGCTAGGTACATTATCATTACATATCGACAATGAACTTTATCCCAAAATGTTGCATCGCATTACTTCCACAGGAAATTGGGTGCAGACGAATCCCTGTTTGCTCGACTGGACAGCAACAACAACACTGTAAACTTAACGAAGCAGTATAGAATGAATAAAAATATTATGCAATTAGCGAACAAGTTAACGTATAACGACATGCTAGAAGCAGGAAGTTTATTGGTTGAAAATGCTACACTAAATACTATACACGTCGACGTAAGTGCCGTCGTTTATCATTGTATCTTGCGTATTACAATGTAGAAAAACGATATTGTGTTTTAGAATCTATCGAAGCACGAAAGATGGATGCAGAAGGTACTATCGTCGAACACAAACGATTCTGTAATTATTTTAAATACGGGTCGTACCAGTGACTTGAAAACACCTGCTCAAATCAGCGACAAGTATCCGAAAATCGATCAAAAAATCAGTAATATATGGGAAGCTGTCATAATTTTCAAACTTTTGAAGACGTTACTAGAGGTGAATTTTATTTCCATTACATACCATTAATCATTATTTATAGTTATATATTTTGAACATTTACTTGTTCCTAGATAGGCATAAAGGCACAAGATATAGGCGTGATAGCGCCGTACAGAGCGCACGTTAATTTATTGAAAGAAATTGTTCAAAAAGACGTTGAAATGAACACTGTTGATCAGTACCAAGGACGCGACAAAGATGTTATAATATATACCTGCTCGAAGAGCGTAAAGGATGACAGTGACATAAAAGAGGTAATTTAATTGAAACTTTGCCCGTCTGAATATTATGTAGATCGTAAATTCATTTTTCATTTCTTGATTGTAGGATATTGAGATATTGGGAGATCATAGAAGATTGACCGTAGCCATAACGAGAGCGAAACATAAACTGATCGTCATCGCGGATAAGTATACTCTATCAAATTATTCAGCATTTAAAAAATTGTTCAGTTTGGTCGAGGCAGAAAATATAGTGGATTTATGCGATGGACAGCATGATTTTTCGTGGGACAGCTTGATGTCCCAACTGTAACAATATTGTTGTGAGTTTACAGAGTTTCTTGATTATATTGTATTAAATGCGAATGTTGCGTAATTGTTGAAACATATTGTCGTTTTATAATTCAAAGCACTCTTACACAATATGTAATTTTTTTGTATCTTTTTGTATATTTTGTATCATCTGTCGACGATTTATGCTATATTTCATCCTATTTGCATTTTGTATTACTCAACTGTAACAATACTATTATGAGTTTATAGAGTTTATTAAGTATGTTGTATTGACGCGAATATTACATAACTAATGAAACCTATTACCGTTTTACAATTCAAAGTACTCTTTCATGATATTTAATCTTTTTATATATTTTGTATCAGCAGGTGTCGATGTATACCACGTTTCATTCTATTTGTTTTATGACCTCATATTTTTAAATTAATGATTACACAGATTGACCACACTTCAAAAAATTTTAATTATTCTTTGACATACTCGATACCTATACTGCAGATTGCTAATGATAAGATAAGAGGTTCTAACATTATAGACTGACATAATTTGATAAACAGAATAAATTTATTTAAAGAAGGAACAGAATATGTACATTAATTAGAACGAATCAATAGCAACAGACGTCGTGTTCATTAATATTTCATGAACTAAATAAAAAATGGACTACATTAATAATAAAGAGGAAATTTCCTATCTGTTAGTAGATAATAATTTGAAGATTTCGTAAAAGCAA